AACAACCAAATAACAGCCCATTAATTTAACAAAAAATAACGAATAGACTTTTAAATACATATAGTATTATCAATATAAAAATTCATTACTTTAAAACAAATCAAAGGTATTACGTATGTTTTTGTACAGCTGTGCTCACGAAAATAGTAGTAAAATGTATTGACAGGTTTTGAAATTTTTTTCTTTCCTTACTTAATTTAATATTTTTATAAAAATATAGTTAATTCTATAACAAAAGACAAGTGAGTTGAAGTCTCAAACTTTCTAGGAAATTTATAAAAATTGAGAAAATTAAGTAGAAGACGAGCTCGAGTCAGAATCTGTTTTCATATTTTAAGCTACAAATTTAAAACATATTTAGTTGGTGTGCTTATAAAATACAACATTCAGTTTGCACCTTTTCCAAATTTTTAGAACTTACATTGCACCGTAGGAGTAGTCGTCTTAAGTTTGACATACTGACAGCCGATTTCTCAGTGGATGTTTAATTATAATCAAAACATTATCTCTTATTGTCATTTTCTCAGTGTACTTAATATATGATTAACTCACCACCACCTTTCATAAGATTTATTAATGGCGAAAGCAGCTTTTCCTGTAAATCCCGTAAAACCTGCAAATCGTGAAGTTGGGTTGGGTTGAATCCAAACAGTTTCTTATTTTGCGAAATCCTAGGAAACGAAACAATTGCAAGCTGACACCTTTTTAATAATGGTTTCAATCTGTCACACGTATGAGTTGTCAAAAACCATTGTTTTGAACATGTAAACCTCAAGCAAATGTCAATTACACCAATTTAAAAAAGTATTTATTAAATGTAATCAGTACAAACTCAAAAAATCAGTAGATTTTGCGTACTGATTTCGGGCTCTTAAAAATCAGTACAATAGAAAAAAATCAGCACATGTACTGATTAAATCAGCGCATCTGGCCACCCTATCCACAGTGCGGAGCGGAAACTAGAGCTTTCCGCCTGCCACACATTTAAAGTAATGTCTTCGGGAACATGGATCGGAAACCCGGCCTTACCGACCTTGATCAACAGCCTGTAGCAGCACGGAGCGGAAACTAGGTCTTTTCGCCCGCCGCACACAAAAGTAGACTGAAGACTTGGCCTCGCCAGCTACCAAACCTGCTATTTTATGTTGTTATTATTATTATTATTATTATTATTATGAATTACTATGTACCTAAATGTTCTATTCTCATTTGTCTGTAAGAAAATATTTTTCTGTAGACCAAATAAATCAATAAATACAAATTTAAGATCTCTTTTCAGAGATAGTAGTCGAGAGATCTAGCTTCAATTCAAGCCACGAAAGTTCTGTCACGTTTTGTTCCTTTGCTAGAGCTTCTACAATATTGCAAAAACCGCGATTTTTTGACACTCTATCTAAATCTATTAAAATCAGCTTTAACATTTGCCGTACCAAACTTTTTTTATACATTTTTTGGGCTGTGTTATCCATTAAAAAATGAGCAAAAATTGAGATTTCCGTGTTTTCTACAGAAATTTTTCCTTATGTGGCCTATAACACCCTTCGCTCCCCATTTAGTTATAGTTTTGCAAAATAATTCAATGAATATCATCATGCATGTGCAGTAGACTGCGCCTTATTTTGCAACTTTGTCCTACAACGCTCTCTATGTTTTTTACGAAAAATGCAAAATAAGCTTGCAAATCGCAAAAACTCAAAAAACTCAAAATCCAAGATGGCGGAATGTTCCGGTATGACATTTAGGGGCGAGACATGCTCTATGTGTCAAATAGAAGTAAAAAATTGCATGAAAATGTTGAACTTTAGGACAATTCGAGGCACGTCTTTCTGTTGTCCGAATTTTTAAATATTTCGCAGGGCACGTTTTTATGACCAAAGGAACATTTCTAGGGGGTGCCTTGCTTTTTACCTTAACAAAAAATGTTCTCCATACAACTAAGGCGCTGTCTAATGTGCAGACATGGGCAGAGAACGAACACGCAATGGGCTAGCTTTTCTCAATATTCATTGCAATCTGGATGTTAATGTTGACTCAGTATTAAAATAAAACAATGATATTCTTGGTTGTTACGAATGGCTTTACATAAAGTCAAAGGCCCCTATTATGAGTTGCATTCGATTTTCGACTGTGGTCGAAAGTGCTGAGCGAACGAATTTTCATTTGGTATTATGGCGCTCATTCGATGAAGAATAGCGCTATTGTGAATTTCGCTCGTTTAGGTTGTTCACAATAGTATATTTTTCACTGCAGAGAAGCTTTGTTTACAAATCGAGCAAACTAAATGTGTGCTTATACATATGTACGTATGTAAATTTGTGCAAACTAAAATGAAACAAAAAAGAAAGCGAGTTTATAAAAACGTGGTAAAAAAATAAAATTTAATTAGTACAACGTAAAAAGCACTTAAGCGAATTTTCTTTACTACTTCAATGAGGAAGGTATCCGAATGCCTATGAAACCAAATAATGGAGGAGCACTTACCACGTGGAAATTACTGCAAGCGAAATTTTTACCGAATGGTATCTAATTATCTATATAACTACATTAATTGATAGCCATTTTCGTTGTTCTGCGAGATGAGCAAAATAAATAAAAGCGTGTAAAATTAGGTAATTGTAGGGCCAGTGCAGGTAAACCTAATACTTTCTTTGATAGTTAATAATAGTAGCACAATTTTTAAGGCAGGTATCGCCAATGTGCAGGTATGTTGAATGCATCTATCGGAGGAGTTTCCTTATAAATGTTAAAAATAGGTATCTTAAATGTGCACTTAAGCATAAAGGCAGCAAAGCAAAATATACTGTAGCTACCGCATTTGTGAACATAGTGTTGATCAGGTAACTAATTTCATCGATCTAGGCGTAACCATGGACTCTAAGCTTGAATTCAAGTCCCATGTAAACTCTTGTGTTAATAGAGCCAAGGGCGTCTTGGCTTTCATCAAACGTTGGGCTAAAGAATTCAGAGATCCTTATGTTACTAAAGCTCTCTTCGCCTCCCTAGTCAGGCCGATCTTAGAATACGGGTCCGTCGTATGGAACCCTAGATATCAAACGCACTCTGACAGACTCGAGTCGGTACAGAAACAATTCTTATTATTCGCATTAAATAATTTGCCTTGGGATTCGACATTAAATCTCCCACCGTACAAAAGCCGCTTGAAGCTCATAAATTTGCCAACGCTGCACAGCCGTAGATAGATGCTCGGGGTTTTGTTCATGATTAAGATCTTGAACGGGATGGTCAATAGTCCCTTTCTACTGAACCAGATCACGTTTTGTATTCCTTCTAGGCCTTCTAGACATTACAAGCCCATTAAGTTAACTGTTTGTAGA